CTTCATTCTTCAGAGATCTTCATCGTCCTTCGTGATCTTCATACATCAATCTCCAGATCTACATGCAACTTCAAGTGTCTTCATCGTTACTTCACCAGAAATTCATCAAATCTCCACGATGTTCATCATACTCATCGTTACCTCCATGTGGGTTCTGTCAAGAAACCATCAAGAAACCTCCCATAGCTTCATCATTTATCTTTAAGATCTTCAAGGATCTTTGAAGATCTTCATCCGTAGCGCCGTTTTCCAGAAAATCGCACCTCAGTTCATCAGTGTTCCTCAAGCATTTTTCAGGAAGTTCATCTGCGAACTTCAAGATCCTAATCCTTACTCATCAGATCTCCAGAAAAATCTTCAAGATCTTCAGCAAGCATTCAACGAAACTCCCTCAACATCTTCATCCGTGGTTCTTCCTATTCATCTTTCCAGAAACTTCTTCATCTCCTTCAAAAGTTCTTCGTCAAGCTTAATCTTCCAGAACAATCACCTACGAAGAACTTCAAATCAACTCCAGAAATCGTCATTGTCCAGAATCTTCAACATGTTGAAACGAAATCGGAAGTTGAAGATTGATAGAAAGAAGATGTTGTGAGGGAGAAGATGAAACGAGAAAAAGATTTTGTGAGAGTGATGAACGGAGACAAAGGAATTGAACGATAGAGGAAGTTTGAGAGAGTTGAACGAGAGAGAAGGAAACGGCGTGAACAGTGATGGAGTTGGGAAGAGATTAAGGTTACTGAGTGTAGTGAAAGAGAATGAAAGTTGGATTAGGCGTTGGGCTCTCAGGCCCACTGGCGTTTTTTTTGGTGCACCTGCGTTTATTTTTTCTTCACCCCCCGTTTTTTCTTGGTTATGGTGGACGTGGGCCTAGCCCACTTGTGGTTTTTTCTGAATACACTCCCCTTTGTAACACTTACCCCCTCCCTGCATTACATGCATTTTTAATATTTTTTGTATGATTTCTTTTGATGATATTTTTTTTGGGATAAGTTTTATATTTTAGAATATTATATTTCTAGAATAAATTTAGTTTTAGATACTAATTTCTTTAGTTTAAAATTTTTTAGGATTTAATATTTTTACAATATAGTTTAGGTATTAATTTTTTGTTAAGAAGGTTTATGGGCTTAGTTCTTTTTAGGATATATTTTCATTAGGAGATTATTTTTGCAGTATCTTAGGAGTAGACTTTTATTTCCATTTTGTGTTGGATTTCTCTCCTATATTCGTTTCTATCTGACTTTATTCTCTATTTTATTTCCGGCTGGCCGTGTGACACGATTTAATTGGAGAATGATTTTCGATATCATTTCTCCATCTTGTCTTTGACACGGATATCAATACGCTACCTCTTAGAGTTCGATTTCTCGCATAAATCGAACCATAACGGTCTAAGCGTTACATTGTTCTTGATTCGAGCGTCATCATCAAAGATTCAGAGAGGAGAAGATTGGAATGGAGCTTGCACGCATGTCAAGAGCCAACGGAGCTGCTTCGTTCATCATCATCGTCGTATTCAAGTCTTCAGGCAACCGTCGAGTGTTGTGGGCTGCATCGTTAGATACGAAGGAAATGGCAGTTGAGGAGTTTCTTCTTAGGTTCTTGCGTGTGTGTCCCGAGTTCCTTCCCGTTTAGGCATAGGCCTGTTTCCTCTTTGTTATCGCCCCAGGCGATCGAAACCCATTTTCTCTCGCGTTCAGGCGATCGAGACCTAATCTCTTGCCCCCGTGCAATCGAGACTCGTTTTCCCGTCGAACTACGTTAGCTCTGATCTCTCGTGTCAGACGAGGGTACGTAGGCATAGGATGCGATATCCTAGCGATCTCCCTTTTCCCTTTTTCTCGGTTTTGCTGTAGTTAGGCTGAACTACAGCTGCTCTGATTTCTCATATCTAATGAGAATATGTAGGCATAGGATGCGATATCCTAGCGAGCACACTAACAACTAATCTCTCTGTTCTCTCGCTGCTGTGCGATCGAGACGTTCCCGCTGACGACTGCTGTTATCCTTTTCTCTTGCCCTTGCGCATTTGAGACCAGACCATAGTTCTAGTTCCCGTAGGTTCCTGTACCTCTAGAACCAATTTCATCTCTCACTCTTGTGTAATCGAGAACACCCTGTCTAGCCGTAGTTAGCCTGAACTACGTAAGCTCTGATCTTTCACGCTGTGTGAAAGTACATAGGCACAAGACGCGAAGTCTTGGCGAGCCAATTTCCCTGTAGTTTCCCGAACTACGATGACTTTGACTTTCTCTCTTGAGAATACGTAGGCATAGAGTGCGATGCTCTATCTAGTCAGTTTCTTTCCATTTAGATTTAGCAGCCGTAGATAGATTATTTTGCACCCTTTAGACAAACCAAGCAAGCGTGGATCCCGTCGAGTACGACGGACGTGAGGGGTGCTAATACCTTCCCCTTGCGTAACCGACTCCCGAATCCAGGATTTGGTTGCGATGACCATTCCTTTCCCGTCTTTGCGGTAGGTTTACTTCGAGCGTTTCCTTTCCCTCCTTTGGGATAAATAACGCACGGTGACGACTCTTCTGTTTATCCGACGCCGATTTTCGTAGTAGCGACACTAACCCTCTTTTTTTAATTTTAATTTTAACATTTTCCCCTTCCAAAACTTCTAATTTCTAATTGAATCCTCACTTAAGAATTCTAAAAAAATAAAGATCCCTAACATTTCCCGTTAAATTTTCTACTAACTTTCATTGGTTCTCGTTTGGACTTGATTATTAATCCCGTATTTTTCGCATTTTCTTTTTTTGGGTTGTAATTTATGCGAGGCTATCGTCGTTGTTATTTTCAATTCCGTTTCATTTTGGTTTGTAATTTATGCGAGGCTATCGTCGCTTTTGTTTTCAATTTCGTTACCATTCTTACGCTTTCTCATATTTTAATTCTTCCATATAATCAGTTATTCATTTGCATTATTTACCGTTAAACCCCTCCGAAGGATTAGGTCTAGCCGTTTGACCGCCGAGTCAATAGTCCTCCCATTTGAACATTTCCCTTTCCAAAACCCTAATTGCCTAGGCGTCCCGCCGTGGACCAAAATACCCTTTACCCTAGCTTTAGGTTAAGGAGTCGCTGTACTCCGTTTTAGGTTTCCCGCCGTGGAATACATATCTTACCCTTTCTTAATTCATTTCAACTTTACAACCTAGAGAATTTCGAGTCGCCGTACTCATCTTTTTAGGCGTCCCGCCGTGGACAGTTTTACCCTTTACCCTAGCATTAGGATAAGGAGTCGCCGCACTCCGTTTTAGGTTTCCCGCCGTGGAATACTTATTTTACACTTTTCAATTTAATTCAATTTCAACGTAGAAATAGGAGTCGCCGCACTCCACGTAAGCGTTTCCTTAAGAACGTTTATTCCCCATTGAAACCTTGACCACAGTCAAGAAGTTTCTAACCTCCCTTTCGAGGGGAACTATGATTACTCTGATTCCATCCCCTACCCAGGATACGTAGGCACAAGATGTGAATCTTGATGAGTAAACTTAGGACTAACCCTTAGGTCTCTCTTTCACCTTTAACCCTTAGCATATACCCTAAAGCAGATAATCAAGCAAAATAGTAAACTTTAAACAAGAGGTTCCTGTAGAGTACTACAGAAGTTTAGGGTGCTAATACCTTCCCTAAGCTTAACCAACCCTTACCTAGATCTCTCCCCACATTGTGTTTACGATGCAAAATTAGGGTTTTCCTTCCTTTAACCTTTCCTTCAGATAAATTAAAGACCGGTTCACAGTTGCAGAGTTTAGCAAGTGAAAGCTCAATAGCAATCAGAAATCTCACAGTTTGTGGGTAACACAATTTTTCTCCAAATATTTCTTCTCTCATTCTTCACTTTCTTATTGTGGGTTTGTTCGTCAATCTTGAGATCAAGATTAAAGGGAATTCTTCATAGAGTGTGAGGTGAATTTCCAACATCTGGTATCTAGAGTTCCGGTTGAGAGATTCAAGGAAGGAAGATAGTGATGGCGATGAACTATCCAAATGACAACTTTCCGGCGACCCTGCCAATTCTCAAGAAAGACAATTATGAGAATTGGTGTAAGCTGATTAAGGTGATTTTCTGTTATCAAGATCTTTGGGATCTTGTGAAGGACGGAGTAACATCGCTTAGGGAGAATTTGTTCTATGTTGCATACAAGGCAAGACACCCTATTTATAGTTTTAGGTTTACAAAAGCTCAAAACATAAAAGGTCCAAAATATTCAAATCAAATCTATTTCGACACACTATGAATTACATTTAACAATAAACTCAAAAAAAAAAAATTTGGATTTATGATAACAATGTCATTGTATTTACTCATTTAACTCACGTTAAGGTTCACTTATTTTCAAATTTTATTTTAGAAAAAATTATAATATCAATGTAATTGTATTTATTCATTTAAATTATACCAACTTCATGTGTATAATCTCGAGGTTCACTCTTTTTATATGTTTTATTTTATAAAAAAAAAACAGTAAAATTAATGTTTTAATTGAGTCTTATACACAATTTTATAACTCAAAGACATAAGATATTTTATTATAGAAGTTATTAAATTAATTAAACTAATTTGGATATATACCTTAAAACAAAATCAAACTCAAATATTTATAACTTACAACCAGAGTTTTTCAACGGACAGCATTTCACATGAAATTCTTGAGAAACATTTGAGACAGATTTTGGACAAATTTTCTAATTTACAACTAAAGTTTTTAAACAATTTTATGAATTTTATAAAAAGAAAGTGATTAGTTTTTTAAATCAAAGATGAATTATAAATAACAAAATGATAAATTAATTCCATTTGCATTTCCCTAAGTGCTTAAGTCGACTAACCATATAAAAAAGAGATAGAAAAACAAAGTTTCATATGTTATAATCACTGTAAACATAAATAGATTACAATCAGTTTAAACATTCATTAATGCTTATCAAATTCATGTTTAATTCTGAATGCAAAGAGTTTCATACATGTACCATGAATATTATGATCTATTACATTTATGTCCATGCTCCCAATCCTTCCCACAGTTGTAGCAGAAGTTACATCCACACCTAGAAAAAAAAAATAAGAGTCATTATAACTAAATTTTCATCAAAATAGTGTACCAGAAAAGGTGATATTTATGATAAATAACCTGCACGAAATGTGTTCACATCCACCATTTATCTGAACATGCATACAACATTTAGGACATTTCTGCCACTTTTTTCTTTTAGCCAATTCCATAAATTTTTCATCCAATTCCTTTTCGTCTTCACCCTCTGACGACTTCTGAAATCTCCGGCAACTCATGTCAGCATGCCATGGAACCTTACATTGTGCACAGAACAGCCTATGACAAGAAGGACATTCACAACTTGTAACAAATTCTACCCCGTCATTCACCAACATAACAGAACAATTCTTATAAGGACAGTAAATTTTTTGCTCCAAAGAAATCGAAGACTCGTAGATCGCAGATTCCCACTCAATAACGACTTGTTTAGGTAAAACGGATTGGAAATGCTGTGGTTTCAGTTCCACAGAACATTCTGGATTTGGACAACTCACTTTCACCGCATTTTGGTTTATTCGAAGTTTGACATACTTGGATATGCATTTAGTACAAAAGGGATGATTGCATGAAGTGATATTGAACATGTTAGAGACTGTTACAGAATCAAAGCATATACCGCAGCTGATTCTTTTTGAGGATTTACCTTGATAACTAGCTCTTGCTTTCTTTGTTTCCTTCTTTCCATCATCGCGGTCCGTTGCAAGAGATTTTCTCTTCATTGTATTTTGACGCATGATGTGAAGTTGTGCAAACTGAAAGGTTTTGGGTTGGTAGTTGTTGGCTTTACATATATATCACAATGATGGATCAATAATTCTTGCTTTTAAACTTTTCACTTTGAATGTCCCTAGACTTTTCTTTTATTAGTACCGAGACTTTTTTAATGCAAGAAGCCAAGAACTTTTCATCTTCACCTTCCTAAAACAATTAGCAAGATCAAAGGCCAATTTTCCATGTGATTTTTAAGGATTTTTTATTAGCTTAAAAAGATGAAGTTTTTCTTTCTATTTTCAAAAATAGATTTTCTAAAACAGTTTTTTAAAATATTACAAGTTTTTTTATATTGGTTATTTCTAAATTAAAATATTAATTTTGACATTCTACAAAATAAACATACATTATTAAAAATCTAACCTGTTAAATATGTAACTCTTTGTGTCGAAATCGAAATAGTGTGTTTATATTCTACGAATGTTGAAAAGTGTTTGTGTCGAACCGATTCTGTATTTGTTATATTTGACAGAAAGTTAAATATAGTTTGTCGAAGTATGCAACTGAAACATGTAGTTGTCGAAGGAGTCGACGGAGTCGAAATAGTCTGTCTTGTCTTAGTTTTAGTTAAGTTAGTTATTTTGTGATTACTTGAATTGTGATCTCGACGGTTGATCAGAACTTGAAGTGAGGCAGAGACTTTGTCGGTGATGCTGGGTTGCGAGGATGAGAAATGAGGTGTACCTGCAAGACACTCTGATGCTAACGTAAGAATTGGACGAAAAGAAGGCAAGTACAAAAAGTGTATGTCTTAGGGTGATTTGGAATGATTTAGAATACCTGACTCTCTTAAGTGTGAGGATTTTTATAGTGCCCCCAACGCTTGGCCATTGGCTCCTATGTTCGGGGCGAGATAATCGCTCCCTAAAAAATAGGTAATTGCCAGAAACTAGCTGTTGGGACGGGCATAGCTGCTCGAAACGGGCATGGGTGTTGTGACTGTTTCTTGATGGTAAAATCATGCGTGACAGACAGGAATGTAACGAGGGACAGCTAATCCTGGGGGTCAGCTAGTCAGCCTTTGGCAAAGGGGCAGAGGAGAGGAAGCCTCACTTTTCCCTTAGCTGGCATGGTGAAGGCTATTGGGTCGTCCTATGAACAGAAGTGGATTGGACCGTGTCTAGCCATTGGGTCAGTCCGGAACAGGAGCCCCCCAAGTTTTTGCTCCTGAGCATAGGAGTGATGACTTACTGGAAGCCAATGGTTCGAGGAGGAGTGGGTGTGGTTGATGCGCGTTACTGAGAAAGGATCGTTTTATAGTGCTCGAAGGCGTCCGCGTCTAGGGAACTTGGAACTTTTTCTTGAGTGCCCGACTGACGGGGAGGCCAACGGTTGATGGGACTTGAAGGGATGGAGTGACACGTGTGCATCAAGCCACGCGCTGCATTTAATGTGTAATGATGGCTATGTTAAGGTCATGATGATACCCTACGCTGCGCGTGCTCATGCACGTGTCCCTGCTCTGCCTATAAATAGGGGAAAGAAGTGTTCATTTTAACTTTTCACTTTTCTTTCTTCTCTCACTACCTGCTCTTGTCTCTGTCGCTCATCGATCACCTATTTTTCTTCTCTATTTTAAGAGATTAGCTTTTGTTTTAATTAGTTTGCGTGCGGTTAGGACGAAATTGGGTAGAGCATGGGTGGTTTTCGACGATCGTTGGTGGCTGGCGGTGGTTAGGTCATTTCCTGCCGCTGGCGCCGTCGTCGGAACCTCAGAAACTTAGGATTTCAGTTGATTTTGGCATCGTTGTGATGGTTGGTGGATTTATTGCTAGTGGGATTCGTGATTTTTCCAGTGTACTTATGAGTTTTTCGGTGGACCTTCATCAGAGTTCTTGACCTCCTCGACATACAGGGAGAGGTTCCCCATGTACGAGTACATCTTCAAAGAGATAGGGCTGAGAGATATTACCCCTCAGTTGGACAAAATAACTGGGAGATTATACAAATTTAAAAATAAAAAAATAGAAAATAACGGCAATTGAAAAAAGTGTCAGCTATATATATATATATATATATATATATATATATATATATATATATATATATATATATATATATATATATATATATATATATATATATATATATATATATATATATATATATATATATATATATATATATATATATATATATATATATATATATATATATATATATATATATATATATATATATATATATATATATATATATATATATATATATATATATATATATATATATATATATATATATATATAAAACAAAATTAATCATGAAGCTCACATGACATATACTTCGATTATTGATTGGTCGAGATAAAAGTTTTTTCATAAAATATATTATTTGTAGTAGTGAGAGAATTTGATTTTGCCCCTAATTTGTGATAGTTCAAATCCTTCTAAACTGCTTGCCTTATATTAGAAGCTCCTCAAAGATAGGACCCCCTAAAGAAATAACCTTTTAAAAAGGCATGTCATTTTGGCCCATAATTTGTGTAGTGGTCCCTTAAAATCGATCTCATATTTTTGAAACATGTGAGGTTGTGGCTAGACCGTGGTTTAGAATCTGTTTAGTAAGACAAAAAAAAAAGAGCTTTTGGCTTATAGCTTTTAGCTTTTCAGCTCATATTAATGAAAAAATTTTGTTTGGTAACTGTTTTTTACCTTTTAGCTTATAGCTTTTTAACTAGCTTTTAGCTTCTTTTTTTCAAAAGCTATTTGAACCTTTTAAGCTTGTAGCTTTTAGGTTATGACTTTCTATTCTAATTATACCCTTATTATTATTATTATTATTATTATTATTATTATTATTATTATTATTATTATTATTATTATTATTATTATTATTATTATTATTATTATTATTATATATATATATATATATATTAAAAATTTGATTTAAAAAGATTGAATTTACAGATATTTTAAAGAATGATATAGCAGATTTTTACTATTTTTCTTTACTTTATTAGAAATTATTTTTATTTATTAAATATAAATTATATAATTAATTTAAAAATAGTGTTGATAATTCTCAAGTTAGTGAAATATTAGAGAAAAATCAATGGAATCAACAAGGTGAAGAAAATTCAAAATATTATTGCAGTTTTATTGTAAAATATTAGACAATAAAGTTATTCTTGTTATTATTTTTTATTAATATAACTAAATTCAAAATTACAATGTTATTATTTAACGTATTTTATAAAATTTCATTATAAAATTTGGAGGAAAAAAGTTATATTTTACAAAGAATGAGTTAACCTTACCAAGAATTGTAGTTATTATGATTAGTTTTACTTTTATGTCCTTATAAATGACTTTATGAAATACTCATACAATCATGTATGATTTGCTTATTCTTTTATTCATTGAATTTCGCTGTCAATATATTCATATTAAATGGCAAAGTTCATAAAATTTATATACAAATTTATATATTTTGATGATATCTTCAATTTTTCATATATATTAAAATTATTTTACATGTTGTTATTAATACATTTACTTTTATCGAATAAAAATTAATTTAATAATATAATATAATAAGATAATAAAATCATCACTTTCTTAATCAAAAATGTCATTTTAGGTTATTTTGTAATTATCAACTAGTGTAATTGTTAATTTACCAAACATTCAAATTAACTTATTAGTTATCAGTCATCAACTATAAACTATCAGCTATAAAGTACTAATTATCATCTAATTTTATCAAACATATCCTTATTTTTTTAACGTGACTCTAGTGGTCTTTTCGCATTTTTAGGGAGCTTAATTTGATTTTTGAGGTTTTTATTTTGAGAGAAGGTTTGTCTAGGGCTATAGGGGTCTCGCGATGATTTGTGTGGTGTTGTCCATATGAAAATTCTAGAATGACGCTATTCTTTTAAGTAAGTCATTAAACATGAGGATTGTGAGGATAAGAGTGTTTTTTTTCCTCTTGAAAATTGTATTTTTTAAGTTTAGGGTGAACAGGGGACGGTTTGGACATGTTATAACCATCATATTCCAAATTTTAATTGAGTTATTTTGATGATGTTAACTCGTCTTTAAACTCGATTAATTTAAACTTGGTTAATTTAAGATAAAATTGAATTGAAATGCATTAAAATTACTTTTTAGTAACTTTTTAAAAAATTAATTGTAACATTTTATAACATATTTAAATAAATGGATTTATAAACAAATGTACAATGATTTGTTTATTATAGCATGTGTTTTAATAAAATATTTTAAATAGAACTCGATCATTTAATAACAATTATTTAAAATAAATAATATTCACTAAAACTTTAAGAAATTAACATTTGTGAATTTGACATGACACAAAAAAATTAATTTTACTTATTAAAAATACTGGTTCATACTAGGATTATAATTATGCAAGAGAAATAGACAATTACTCATCAATGATAATGTTTTACTTTCTTAAAAAAAATAGAAAATGATTTGTTTTTTTTCATTCAAAGATGAATTATAAATAAGAAAATGATAAATTAATTCCTCTTGCATTTCTCTCAAATGCTTAAAAAGTAGACCAACTGTACTATTAAAACATATCACCATTACCATATATTAAAAATTAAAAATCACTTCTAAAAGTAATTGATTAGCTCTTTTAACCTAGAACTGGAAAAGTTATGCACCAAAATTTCAATTTTTGTGATCACTAATTAACAGCTTGAACTTCCTGCATACTTACCTCACAATCTTCATAATGTGAATGTTATCTGTACACATATATAAACAAAAAGTTTAAACATTAAGAACTTCAATCGTGAATGTTCAATTTACATTTCATTGTTTGAACTGATTTAAAAAATATCATTGAATGGAACATATGCAAAGAGTTTCATACTTACCCGATTTTCTCGCACCCGCACTTATGTTCATAATCCATGCCACACAAACGCACGTCCACACCTGCAAGACATGTTATTACATCCTCCATTTTTCTGGACATACATAGAACA